AAAAAAAAAAAAAAAAAAAAAAAAAGGTTTTAAAGGCCCATATTTATGTTCTAAAACAAGGCAGAAATTTCATACAGAGAGCCAGTCAGTTGATAACTGACAAAAGGAGAAAGGATTGTGAGAGTGATTGAGGAAATATAAGCAAACTTTCAAGTAAGAGCATGAGGGCACTAAGGAAAAGGGAAAAGAGGGCCAGGTTAGTATAAAATGATTAAGAAGGAAAAAAGTTAGAACAATACTTAGAGTTTCTAGTCAAGTTGGAGGGCTTTGAATGTATAGAGGATAATTGAAAAGAAACTTAGATTGTTGACGGTTTTAGACCTAATGCTATTAATAGACAGGAGGGCAGACTCAGAGACAAAGGACCTGCATAAGTAATTTGGGTATAGATTTTTGCACATCCTCAGTTATTCAGGAAATTGTTCATGTTATCTCCTGTTTCGCTTTTCTTTCCACCTATCATTCTAAAATTTAATGATGTAGTATTTTATTAGTGTATAAAAATACACTTAATAGAATTTGGAGCTAGAGAGGATTAATAGAAATGAGAAACCATGAAGGAGTTCACTGTCTCTCTGTCTCTCCTGGGGAGAACGAAAAGACAAGACATAACTTTGCACTTTTTCACCAGGTGAAGGTAAGAAAGGGCCATGGTCTCACTGGTGAAGCATAGTTTTGACAGAATTCTACCAGAGGGAAATGAAGGTTTTTCATGATTATTACGGTTTCTATATTGATGTCCCCCAAGAGCCTCAAGCACTCACAAGTGAGGGTTTTGGAAGGTGATTTAGACTACGGGTCTGATTGGATGAGGCAGCACTCGGGTGTGACCTAGGAGGGTGTGTCTCCATGCCTGGCTCTCACCTTCCTTCACCCCGCTTCCTGGCCACCATGAGATGAGCCGCTTTCCTTTGCTCTTCTCCCGTGCTGACAACAATGTTTTGAAACTTACAAAACCAGAGCTAAAATAAGCTGTCCTTCTTAAAGTTGCTTGTGTGGGTATTTTGTCCAGCATAAAGGAAAATGACTAAGCTAGATTTGGGTATTAGAAAAGTAGAGCCATTGCTGTAACTGTTACCTATCCATGTGGCTCAAAGCATTTGCAACCAGTTCACAGGGGGAGTTGTGAAAGATTTTGTGATGCCAGCTAGAATGCTATAAGCTGAGCTTGACGGAAGGTTCTAGTTGGAGCTCAGAAGACCAGGATGTCAATAGAAATGCAAATGGTAAAAGCCAGGTTCAGGAGGTGTCAGTGGAAACAAGGACTCCAGTAGCAGTTGGACTCCAGGCCATGTGTGTTATGTTCCGGCAGAAAATTTGTCTACATTTTAGTCCTGAGACTTTGTAGGAGACTAAGGGTGGTGGGCTAATTAATCTGGCAGACAATCAAAAATCAAATCAAAGTAACCCATTATCTAAGCTGTGGCATGGGTATTGTTGGGCAAGGTTTATGCTGAAAATCATGAGTAGATGACAAAGCTGAATGATTTAAAAAGTTTTAAGTTTGGCCAGAAAGGAAGCTCTGGTAAAGTTAGGGCCTGCAAAATTGGAGCCAGAGGAGAGTTTCGTTGCTGAAAGGGTAGCATTAAAAATGAGCCACATACTTTGGATCAGGACTATAGGAAATACTGCGTGAGGATATCACAAGAACCAGCAAGGCTCCACACTTTGCAGGCTCAAAGTTGTAAAAGTAAGACTGCTTTAAGAAAACCCCTAGGGAACTCTGCTGGAGTAGGGTTGCCTAGAGAATTGTTTTTCAGGATTCAGTTCATAGTGCTCAGCCATTCAGACACTCTGAGACCTCTGTAGCCACTGTTCAAAGGGGCCTGGCCACTGCTTGAGCTGGTGGCAGATGGCGACATTATTCACATAGTGCTGGCTTTATACGCATGCAGAGTGCAGGAATTGTGGGGTCAGAGACTTCCACCCAGATTTCAGAAAGCCTGGGTGGCCAGGCAGTTTGCCTCTGAGAAGGCAATACACGAAGCTCTGAGAGTGAAGCCAAAAGTGAAGGGGAGGGCCTGGGAGGTTGGAGAAGCCAGGAACGTGGAAGTGGCAGGTAGTGAGAGGAGCTGCCCCGAGAGAGACGCCATTATGGAGAGCAACCCACAATGCTGTAGGGGCAGAGCTGCCCAAGCCACTTGGAGCTCACATTTCACTACAGCTTGCCCAGGCACTGGGCGTGGAGTTACCGGATGTGACGTTTGCCCTGCTGGGTTTCAGTCTTGCTTTAGTCCCATTCTCGTATCCCTCTTATTCCTCCATTTTGGAGTGGAGATGTTTACCGTTTGCTATCGTGTATGGGAATGTTTAACTTTCGTTTTCATTTTTATAGAGGCTAAAGTTGAGTTTGATTTGAGTGTCAGAGACTTCAGCCTTAGACTCTTCAGCAGTGTGCTGAAACTGTTAGACATGGACTAAATGTGTTTTGTGCATGTGGGCCTTTGGGGAGGCAGGTCCCTTGAAAGCCTGTGTGCTTATAGGTGGAGGTGGACTTTGGGAGGTGATTGGATAATGGAGGCATTGTAGCTGGCTTTATATTAGGGCTGCTGGTTGGATCAGACACATCACCAGATGTGTGACCTGGAAGGGTTCATCTTCTCGTCCCTCCCTTGGCTCTCTGCTACCTTGCCACTGTGAGCCACCAGCTTTGCTCTGCCCAGGCCCTTATAACATGCACCAATTGTGCGTGGACTGAAACTTGTGAAACAGCCAAAACCCTGTGAAACAAACTTGGCCTCCTTTAAACTGCAAGTATTTTATCCCAGCAATGAGGAAAGTGACTAAGATAATGATCATTGTCAGTTTAACCTAGAGAAGGGAGCTGTAAGAAAGGCTAATATGATTTTGATTCAAACTCCTCTATATTCTTTTATTTTCCAAAGATATGGCTCTGTTTCTAAGTAATAACCTTGTGATTTGTTTTGCCTTTCAGACCTGTAAACAGAACAGCTGAATAGTCCTATCTTCTATATGTTGTATGACATTTCCTTTTAGGTATTTTGAAATTTCCCTTTTTTATTCTTCATTAATGTTTTTGATTCAAGGTTTTACATTTAATGACTCTTCATATTGCTTTTCTCCCTTTATTTAGAAATGGATTCAAAACTTGAGGAAGAAATTCTTGTGCATGAGGAATTCTTGCTGTGTGGTGGAGCTGAAACACAGGTTGTAAAATGTGGCCCCTGGACTGACCTCTTTAATGATCAAAGTGTCCACAGGCCTAAGATGCTTATTTTCATCATTACTGGTAAGTAGAAAAGTCTGGATGAGGAGACTGCAGATACGCTTAACCATTTCTGATTTTAAGATTACTCAATGCATTGATAACAAACACCTTTAAAATTTTTGTGCTCTTTGGTTTCCTTCTGTGCACTTATATTATGTGATAAGTGTGACTATATTATATGGAGTATCACAATTGGAATATACCATATATAATTTTATAATTTGCTTTTTAAATTTTTCTTTATATTTAGAACTGTATCAGTTTGTGGGGTGGGGGCACTGGGAATCAAACTCGGGATCTTACGCTTGCTAAGCAGGTGACAGCACCACTGAGCTAAATCCCCAGTGCTAGAGCTGTATTGATATTTTTAACAATTTTTTAAAAATTATTTTCTGCCCCATTTTAAGATGACTATGATTATTATAGAATGTTAATTGTGGAAATTGTAGCTGAGTCACTTGTGACTTTCACTAGATCGTTGTCAGTAAATGACAGGTAAATATTTGATTGCATGTATTTTAAGTCCTTTTTACATTATGAATTTGAACATACATGTTTATAATCTTTTTTAGGCTCTCATGCTATGAACTGCCAGTGGAAACCTGTGCTGATTTTTCAATTGTGTTATCAGTGGTTTTCTTTATTGGTCTGTAGTCCAGTTTGTTCTGTGTGTCACACATGACAATTTTTTCTAGTGACTTTTGATTTTATTTACAACATTCAGTTGCACAGAATGTTTCATTGTTATGAAACAGATGACACTAGTCTCTTCCTTCAAAACTTCTGGATTTTTTGACTTTATTAGAAAAACCTTCCCTACTCTAAGATGATAAAATAATTCTACCATATTGTGTTTTTTTCAGTTTTAATAGTAATTTTTACATCTGATGAACCTAGAGTTCAAGGGTCAGAATTACAGAAAGGACCTAGCTTTTCTCCCCCTTCAGATGGCTGACTGGCCTCCACATCATCTGCTAGCTCATCGGTCTTTCCCTCACTGGCTTGCATGCCAGCGTTCTCGCAGCGGGCTCGTCCTGTGACGTGGAGCCTGCGTCTGTCTCCACCTCATCGCGTGCTTTCCACAGCTTGGCTTTATGGTACCTTTACATCTTTTAGAATTGTCCTTGGTCACTTTATTCTTCCCCAAAGTACGTTTTGGCTTCTCTTCTTTTTTTATCAAAAAACAAAAAAAATTTTGTTTCGTATTTGTTTGTTTTTTGTTTTGAAGAGGATCTTTTTGGCTTCATTAGAAGAAAAAAATATATATACGGTCTTTAAAATCATCTTCTCTGGTTGCAGCAAATGTCCTCCCAGCAAAGACTTAGCCCAGTGCACTCTGATATTGCTGGCCCTTGATACTTCTAGATATTGTGTGTTAATGTCCACAAAAGAAGAGGATTAGCTTTTGTACACTTTACCTTTCCCCGTTTCCCCACACACAGTCATATACTTCTCCTTTCCAGTCTTCCTCAGGGTTATTTTCCAGTTTGAGGTTAGATTGGTACTTAATGTGTCATTATTGTGAATTTATATTATGTTATAGCTAAGCCTTGGGGATATTAGAATTGCATTTCCTTCTTTACATGTTTTTGTTTGCTTTCCCTGGGTTAATGATGTCTGTCCCTCTCCCTCTCTCCTTAGTTTTCTATTACTTAATCACCTATTTATCCTAAAACTGTTCTCTAGAGATGAAAAGAAATCCTCAGTGCAATGAGTAATCAGTCAGTTTCTTTATTCTTGGTGCTCTCCCTCCTTGAGTCTGTGTTCTGTGGATCTGGTGCACACTGATTGCTGCTGGGCTGTCAGACTTCTGCCATCCTGGGGATTCTTGTCACTTTCTTGTGGCTCAAATACCCTGTTTCCTGCATCTTATATTTTCCTCTCTATTGGTTTAGTCTCTTGTTTTGGTGGAATAATTCTAAATAATTCTAGTAGCTTCCCGAGGAGAGGGGCACAGACAATAAAAGATACAGCATATCAGAAACTGTCTGAGACTTCTAGGTTAGAAGTTTTTCCTTGGAACTTAAAAGGGAATTAGTCATTGTTTTCCAGGGTTCAGAGCTGCCTACACGAAGTCTTGATTTTTTTGGAGGGGGAGTATCTGATGCTTCCCCCAAACCTTGCACTTCTGAGACCTTTTCATTATTCTAAAATTTTAAAACTTTACAGTGAAGCAGTTGAAGTATTTTTTCATACATTGTACTTTGGTTTTAATAGGCTTTCAAAACCAGAAGCTAATGTATATACTTCAAGCCTAAGAGTTCCTTTTTCTCTCTTTCCTCGTCTTATAGTCTGCTGTTTTGTAGGTGTGACATCATTTTCTTTGGCTTTTTTCATTTGTTAGTTTTCACTGTATTTCTTTTTCTATTTGTGTTCAGTGGTATTTTTAAAGTTCAGTAATCTCTCACTCTCCATTTATTTTTAAGAGGAAGATACAAAAAACTGATTTGAAGTTTTATATTCAGAAGTAAGGCTTGTCTGCAGGTGTGCCTAAGACTGGGGAGTTCTTTAGGCCCATGGCAGTCTCCTAAAATCACAGCAGACCTAGGCAGAGAGGCATGGCTGGTCACCTTGGGTGAGCCTCGCCCTGTGGCTGTGGTGTCGGAACCCCACATTCATTCGTTTCTGGTGTGCTGAGAAAGCAGCGAGAGCCTTCAGATGGAGGGAAACTTGAAACTTCCCTTGTTTCACAGTCTTGTTGTTTGTAGTGCTTTGACATTTTCAGATCCCATTTTGTTTCCTGTGTTCTTTTATGCTTGCTTTTCTATTTCCATTGCTACCCTTGATCCTTTCCTTGGATTCCTGAGAGCTGAAGGCTGGTGCTCTTCGTTGGTATATGGGCTTCAGAATTGTGTTTTATTTGGGAAGCTAGTCTGTTTAAAACTGTGAGAAAAATTAGGATGACAGTGTGTGTGTGTCTGTGTAAACTTTTTAAAATCTTTTTACATTGACCAGTTTATTATGAAGGTTTATTATTGCCTATGATACGAATGAAGAGATGCATTTGCGTGGGAGAGTGAGCCCAAGTTTTTGTGTACTCTCCTATGAGTCATCCTCCAGGAACCTCCACATGTTTGTTTTAGTTACTTTCTTGTTGCTGAGACACAAATACCCAATACTCTGAGAAAGAAAGGTTTATTTTGGCACACAGTTTGTAGAAGTTCCCATCCATAGTCAGCTGGCTCCAAAGCAGGGCAACATGGCAAAGGAGGCTTGCTAACGCAGAGAGCGAAAAAGAAGAGAGACGTCCAGGGAGGAGAGAGGGAGGCCACATGCCCACCGGTGGTCCACCTCCAAGGTCACATTTGGGTGTATCCTCATCAGGGGACTGACGCTCTCCGAAGTATCACACTTGTGATCTCTTCGCCTCCTGAGCGCTCCGTGAGTACACGAGGCTTTGCAGGGACACCTAGACATAAACTAAGTGTTCATCCATCCAGAAGCTCTCCTGAACACTGCACTTTTATCTTTCTGCAGAGCCTTCATTGCAGATGCATAACTGCTAATAGGCTGTGTGGGAAAAGCCAGAAAGGCCTGTTCAGCTTCTTCTTGACCTTTCTGTGCAGTATTCCTTACTCCAGAGTATGGGACAGGAGCCCCTGGAATGAGCAGGGGTTTATGACCTGCTGTCAGAACAGATAGGTTAGAGAAATCCTTTATGGACAGCTCCATGACAGAAGACAAGGGAAGATAGAATTTCTGTGACTCACTTTGAGGAAGAGAAATTCTACTTTCTGTGGCCTGCATTTGGGTAGCTAGGGAGTCAGGAGCCAGGAACCACAAGATGAAAAAAAAAAGAAGAAGATACTTATGTACTCATATGTATGTATGTATGTGTGTGTACATATATATATGTGTGTGTATATGTGTGTGTGTGTGTGTGTGTGTGTACGTGTGGGTGTGGATATATGTATTATGTGTTTATGTATATATGTAATAACAGTATCTCGTGGTTTTCAAACATGGATCCCTTACATCAAAGGAGTATACCACCCAAAAGATACTGTCACATTTTTAGGATCCTGTGTAGTCATTAATAATCAGTCTGTCTACCATCATATTGAATGAATATGAAGATGGCAGTATTTCAAGGATTGTCAAAATGTTATGGACATCATATTATATCTAACTCTTATAGACTGACATAGCATTTCATTTTAAATCATTTTGCTTTCGCAGCTAACAACATTCTTCACAATTAGTGATGATATTTAGGAGTGATTTATCAGAAATCCACAGACAATAACTTTTAATTTAGTTTCATCTTTTCCAGTGAACCTTAGATCTAGAATTTATAAACCTTTGATAAAAGGTTTTACATACGTTTCTCAGTTGGAATGTTTCCCAGCATCCCAAGACCCAGAGAGAGAAAGCTAGATGGAGATACCTTTAGTTGCATGAGCAATACCCTTAAATTTTCTTTTAGTTAATCAGGAAGTTTAGTTTATGGTTTATAAGGTATAACATTCAAATGGTTAATATGATAATATGAAGTCAGGCTGATGAAGTTTTTGTTTTGTTTTGTATATGGAGCCCTAAAGAAGAGCAAAAAAGAGCCCATCATAATTTGGGATACCCAAGCCGGGCTTGTAGTTTTCATGCATTCCCCAAACCTCCAAGGGAATAGGTGCTAAATATTCCTCACTTGTGAAAGGGGGCAATGGAACTGAAGGTTCTAGCCCTTGTGATCTCGCATGCACTTAGACTCAGTTCCAACTATAGTGTTGCTTGTGCCCTGTTCTGTGTATACGTACGTATTATAATTGATGAAATTTGTCTTATGATATACAGTATGATGGTATATATTATGGCACAATGGAATCAAGCTAACTACTATATTCATTAACTCAAATGACCAAATACTTGAGGAAAACAACTTAAAGGAGGAAAGGTTTATTTTGGCCTACAGTTTCAGAGGCTTCAGTCCATCGTGAATGGCTTCACTGCTTTTAGGCTAATAGAAAGGTACTGCCTCATGGCAGAAAGGTTTGTAGAGCAAGACTGCTCACCTCCTAGCAGAAAAATCAGCAAGGAGACATAGAGAAAGGGCCAGGGAAAATATACTAGGCCCACAGTCATGCCCCCTCAGCTCACTGCAGTCTGTTAGGGCCTGCTGCCTATTTCCTTCTCCCAGTAACGCCATGGAATTACGATCCATCAATGGATTAACCCACTTCTGAAGTTAGACCCCTCACGTTCCATCCTTGCAGAAGCCCATTGGCTCACAACCAAGACTTCAACGCAGTGAGCCTTTGGGGAACAGTTCAGATAAAAACCATAACAAGAATACAATATATTACTCTTAACTGCTGACACCAGAATGTCCAAGAGACTTCTTGAATGTATTCATCCTGAATGAAATTTTGTAATCTTGGCCCAACCAGCATCTCTCTCCATCCCTCCTCTCCCTGTTAACCCTGCTGACCACCATTCTATCTCTGCTTTTATCTACCTTTTTTATTATCCCACATATAAGTGAGATCATGCAGTATTTGTCTTTATGTGCCTGGCTTTTGTCCTCCAGGTTCACCCAAGTTGTCAAAAATGATAGGATGTCTTCTTTTTTGGAAGACTGAACAGTATTCCATTGTGCATGTTTATCTTTATCTATTCAGCAGTTTCTATGTCTTGACATTTATGAATTGTCCAGCAGTGAATGTAGGAGTGCAAATGTCTCTTTAATACTGATTTTGTTTCTTTCACATATATACCCAGAGCCAGGGATGCCACCGCCTGCCTCGCAAGTACAAGATCCTGAGTTCAATCCCCAGTACCCCAAAAAAGTCTCTCTCTCTCTCTCTCTCTCTCTCTCTCTCTCTGTGCCTCCCTCTCCCTCTCCCCCTCCCTTCCCCACCTCTCCTACAGCTAATAATAATAATACATATATTATACCTACTGTTAATCATAATCTTCATGCTAATTAGCATTCCCACCACAGTTGTGTGCCTGTTCTCTTTTTCCACATCCTCACCAACACTTACTTTTTGTCTTTTTGATAATATTCCTTTTTACAGATATGAGCTTGAGTAGCAGCTGCCTCCTAAAAGCCAGGGCCTGGCTTTTAAACATTGTACCATACCCAGTGCTCCTTCTGCCCTTGACTCATTAGTACCCATCTAGCCTCTCTAGGTATTTTAGATAAAATATTTTTAATTTCTTTTTAATCAACTGAATATTTAGTTAAATGAAAAATAAGCCATAACAAGTTACAGATTAACCACTGACCAGTTTACCTGGAGTGACACTTGGGTAACACATTTGTTTACACACTGACTATCCTGAGAGTTGCTCAGGCAGGTATCATTTCAACCAGTCAATTCTTGTAGTGAGTAAGTTTGATAAAGTTGTCATTTTAATATTTCCTGTTATCTTATAAAAATTAATGAAAAAATATGCAATTTTTGGTCACCCTGTATTTAAATAATTGGACTGGTAAGTTGTTAAAAAGTGCTACAAGCACCACAAAATCCAGGAATAAAGCAAATTTTCAATTATTTGTCTTACATACCTCTATGAATCTTTGCTCTTGCATTTATGGGCCACACACTTTGCATTCCATTATGACAGTGCATTTTCATCGACGGTGGTAATAATCAGCTTTCTGTCACTGTGACCAAATACCTAAGCTAATCACTTTAAAAGGAGGAAAAGTTTATTTTGGTTAATAATTCCAGAAGTTTAGTTCCTGGTCAGTTGGCTGTGTTGCTTTTAGGTCAGTCTTGGCACTTTCTAAGCTGTCCTGGAAGTCCTCTGTGAATGTCTTTAGTTATATCATGTGGCTGCCTTGATGTCTTGAATCAATCAAAATGTTTAGTTTCCATGGTCATTTTGACGTTGGGGAAGAGCCAGGAGTTGTATGGTGCCTTATCAATAAATAAGGTGGATGATGATACACTGTAATGTTTTATGACCTTCTCTTTCCACTGAATGATATTGTACTTTTTACTCACACCTCATAAAAACAGTGGGCTAAGTGTGTTTAAAGCTAGAAGGAGTATTCTGAGAGAGATTAATGACAATGTGTCTTCTTTTACTATAGTAAATTTTTAAAATACCATATATTTTGATCACATCTTGAACATGGGTTCATTCTTTGGTTAATCTAAGATCTTTCTTCCTTTTCTTAGGTAACCCCGGTTTCTCTGTCTTTTATGTGCCATTTGCAAAGGCTTTGTACTCTTTGACAGACAGGTGCTTTCCAGTTTGGGTTATCTCTCATGCTGGGCATGTCTTGGCTCCCAAAGACAAGAAGATTCTCACAACATCAGAAGGTATGTCCTCATTAACATCTACTTTCTTTCCCCGTAAATGGATATTCTTGTTTCTGGAACAACTAGTCAGGTTAAGAGTTTTGCCAATGAAATCTTCTGGTTGTGGCATTGGGCCCAGGATGCCACAGTTTGGTAATTTTAGGATTTTTAGAGATATTTTAAGAGATACTTTTAGAGACTCTTGGTAATTTTAGGATTTTTAGAGGTATTTTAACTCTCTGAGTAACTTTGGGCTGATAGGTCTGTGTATTGCTTTCTTTTATTTAACAGTTAGCAATCAGCTATATATTTATTGATCACATATATCCAAGGTTGTACTAGGAGGAATAGTAGAGAAAAAAAGTATAAGGCATGGTCTTTATTGTTGTTTTTTTTTCTTTGGTTTTTTGAGACAGGGTCTCACTATGTAGTTGCATCTGACCTAGAACTCACTGTGTTGCCCAGGCTGGTCTCGAACTCACAGTGATCCTCCTGCCTCAGCCTCCTGAGTGCTGGGATTACAGACGTGAGCCACCATGCCTGACTAAGGCATGGTCTTTAAAGAAGCATAATGCCAGGGGCTGAGGATTTAGCTCAGTGGCACCCTGCCTGCCTCACAAGTACAAGTTTATGAGCTCAATCACTGGTGCAAAAAAAAAAAAAATACTGCCTTATGTTTGGAGTATGATTTTACATGGCAAACTCTGGCCTGCTGATCATGTGGATACCGAAAGAGTAAACAGTGTAAACCCAGAGTGTGTGGGTTGGAATTTCATCAGTTTTGGGCTGCCTCAGCGGGATACTGGAGATTGGGGAGCTTATAACCAGCACAGATTTATTTTGCAGTTTCTGGAGCTGGAGAACTCCAAGATCAAGGCACTTGGCTATTCAGTTTCCGCCGAGGACCTATTCTGATTCATGATTCACAGATCACCTTTTTCCTGTGTTCTCTCACAGTGGAGAAAAGAGGCAGAACCTTTTGGAACTCTTAAGGGCATTAGTCCTATTCATGAGGGCTCCCCCTGCGTGACCTTATCTAATTGTAATTCTCCCAAAGACTCCGTCTTCTTATTCCATCATGCATGGCTGTAAGATGTTCATCATATGAATTTAGGGATACGGGATACAAGCATTAGTAATGGTTCTGACAGTTGAATAGGATTTGGCTTTGGAGGGGATGGGTGCAGAGGTTAACAGGCAGAAGGAGTAGCACAGAAGGGAGTGAGAGTTAGTGGTCATTGTTTCTATGCAGGGCTGATTTGGGAGGAATCTTGAAATCTGCGGAGAGAGCTGGGACTCTACATGGTAAACTACTAGAGAACTTTGAAGTAAAAGAAGTATCACTGTAGAGATGCAAACGACTTGCTTTTAACTTACAAGAATTGTAACATATTCACCCTTCTAAAAGAAAAGTAAGGGCTGGGGATTTAGCTCAGTGGTTCTGCCACCTGCCTCACAAGTGCAAGGTCCTGCATTCAGCCCCTGGTACCAAAAAAATATAAAGAAAGAAAAGAAAAGTGAGAGGAAAAAGAGAACTATAACTCAAATTCTCTGCAGACATCACATTCAAGGGCCTTTTGCCATACTAGGTTCCCTTAAGTTATTTGAGGTAGGAGCAGTGGCAATGGTCTCGTTCCTTACTTAGCTCCAGTTCTGATAGGTCTATCATGTGGTATGGGCATTGTTTTGTACTTACTGAGCTCCTGTTTTAAGAGGTGCTACTATAAAGTTACACATCTGTACTCTTTGTGGTTATATATTCATGATTCCTTTAGACACTGCTAAACAAGTTTGAGGCAGGCAGCGGAAGCACTGTACTAAATCCCTGGCCCTTTGCTGTGTAAGTTTGAATACATAAAACCTGTACTGTCTGAGTGATCTAAGTTAGTGATGGTGAACTTTTTAGAGACCAAGTGCCCAAACTGCAACCCAAACCCATTTACCTGTTGCAGTGTGCCAACATTACACTTAAACCTGGATTCTGAAGTTTTAGTTTAGAAAAAACAACTCATTAACATCTTTTGTCTTAAGAAAAACACAATAACAGCTTTCAGTCATACAAACAGCTTTTTACTGAAAAGTAAAAGTTTGCATTTGGCGTGCTTTTGCAGTTAATGTGACCATTGCTGTCGTATGCACGCTGATAATTTGTCAAACCTTGGCTCCTACTTGATTAGTGCAGCACATGCAGCACTTGGGTCATCTGTCAGTCTGTTTCTTGTATCAGTTTTGATAGAATTGAAAGCTGAAAACAGCTGCTCACAAGTATAAGATGATCCAAACAAAGTAAGAGCAATCCCAAGCGCTTTCATTGACTTAAAATCATTTGGCAGGGAATTCCACACTTTAAGGATTTCGTTTTCAGAACTACCAACTGTGCTGTCTTTTATCATCCCTTCACTCTGGCTTCTCAAATGTTGCAAGGAGGTCATAAAATGTATCTTTCTAGATAGTTTTCTTGAAATTCCAATAGCTCCATTTCCAAATTTCCAAAGTTAGTCCAGTGTAAGCAGGAAAAATCAAGTTCTTTGAATTTGGCTTTGTCTGGAGAAGTAAACAGTGTTGTGCCAGGGATTTGGCTCAGTGCTGCCGCCACCTGCCTCAAAAGCTCAAGGTCCTGAGTTCAATCTCCTGTACAAAAAGAAAACAAAACTTTAAAAAAAAAGAAAACAGAGAGTTGTCTCTCATAGAACTATAAAACTTACTAAAATTCTCCTTTGCAGCACCTACAATGATAGAAAGTTCCTCGTAGATTTCCTGGTGGCATGTAGGATTGTCTGCAAATGTTGTAGAATTTTCTAAATGCATTTTTAGATTTAGAAGGTATTTCAGCTTCCTGCTTTTAAGATCTCTTTCAGAAACCTGCAGTTTTCTCTCAAATGTTTTCACAAAACGTCCTTTCTGCTGTTTTCCCTAAACATTGTAGATTTTTGTTCAGTATTTTGAAGTGTAGTGTAAAATCTGTAAAAAGAAAACCACGAAGTTGTTCAGCCAGGCTACATCAGTGAGCTGTGGGTAGTCCTACCCTTTTTCATTCATAAACAGCTTAATTTCATCCAAGCAGGCTACAAATCTCTCCAGGACTCATCCTCTGCTCAGCCACCAGACATTATAAGTAAAGCATTGTAGTGTGCCTAAACCTCATCAAGAACTGCTTGAAGCTGTTGAAAATTAAGAGCCTGAGCCGTGATGTAATGCACCATTTTTGTGACATCTTTGAAGGTATCACCTAATTTTTTGCTGTTGTCCCAGCATGAAGAGCTTCTTGATGTATAATACAATGAAACTGACTGACTGGATGTTTCACTTTTTAACAAAGAACTGTATGAAACCACATGTTACCCCCACCAAGCAAGATAACAAAAAAGCCTCCTCACAGCACTGTGGGTCTGTCCCTTGTGTTCTTCCAGGCAGTGACACCAGTTTCAGCAGCTCTTCTCTCGTGATGTCACCAACAGCGTAAAGCAAAATCCCTGCTAGCCTTGTGTGATTATTTATATCTGTGCTTTCACTCGAGCACACGGAGTCCCAGGCTGCCTTCTGTAAGTCAGAGGTGAGCTGCTGACTAGCGTCACTTGCCATACACAGGACTCGCCTTTAACAGTATTTCTTCTAAGTGGCATTTCAGAGATGAGTTGCATAATATTATCTTTGAGAAATCATGAAAAAGGGAATTACAGGCAACATGTCATTTTGATAAAATCCCCATTGAGAGGGCCTTACCATATTTTACTGTGCTCAGTGATATTTGAAAGTTGGAAGCTGTTAGAGGATTATTTTGGAAAGAGAGTTGCAACCCTTCTGTGACTGGACCGGAAGTGCCATCTGACACGATGTGGGGCACACGACACTTTCACTACACAGAGTATGTAACTCTTTCCTGTTGCATTCATTCACTCCAAATGACTGTCTAGGACTATTGGAATGATCTTCCACTATCTGTGTTCAGTTTTTTGTGTGTGTTTTGCTGAGGTCATTTTTTGATGTTCAAGACTTGTCCAGAAAAAACATAAAATTTTTAAAAACCAAAGCACCCAATACAAATATATCCCTACAGCAAAGTAGCTAACACTATTAGTTAACACTAAAAAATTGGATATTCCGTAAATCAACAGTTCACGGCAGTGGTCCTCAGCTGAGGTTCCTCTTGAATTTGCTGACCACCAGAGCAGGGGGACGATGTTTCACCGACCACCAGCTTTGACCCACTGTAAGCACTTCCTATGTCATAAGGAATTTTGCTAAAATCACAGCCAGTCCAAGCAGATATATGTGTCCTTGATCTTGTTTTTATAAATTCCACAAACAACTGAATATGATGCTGCAAATTCAGATATGCCAGGCGAGCAGCACAACATAAACAGTCTCAGTCTCTTAATTAGAACATATCTTTGCTAAATACTGGATGTTAGATTTCAGTTCTGTATAAGAAAACTCAAAGCTAAAATCTTGTGTAATAATATGATGAACATATTAAAATTCACAGCCAATCCAAGCGAATATACATGCAGCAATACCTCTGTTCACAAATGCTTCTCTTCACAGACAGATTCACAAACAGAAGCGTTTGGCAAAATTTTGCTTCCATTCTCGAATCTGCATTGGGTGTGCTTCTTCCCTTCACAAGCACAAACACAACTGTCATCCTCAGAATCCAGGAACAAACTAAGCTCATGAACCAAGGTCCCTCTGTGTGTCATGGCAGTGCACTGGCTGGACACATGCAGGCTCAGTTCAGTCAGCTAATGAGTCACAGCTCACAGCTCCCATGGCATTGTCCCTGCACCTACTCTGCCCAGCCTGCACATGTGCCTGGGGACGCTGATATCCGATTCTTGGCTGCTGGGGATCCTGGGTTGACTTGGCCTGCATGCACACGGTGCTCTGCACAACCACTGTGGCATGCATGTCATAGGCTCACCACTGCTGATCCAAGTGATACTTGAGGCTAGCTTTGATCGTGTTTATCTTTAACTCTAAACTCTGCCTTCCTCTGCTGACCATCATATTTTTTTGTTTCT